GGAAAAAAGTCCCAAAACGATTCCAAAAAATCTCCCAAAAATCATCAAATTTTGTCGCAAAATTGCCAAATTTTCACCTAAAATCATCAAATTTTTACCTAAAAACACCAAATTTTTTTTTGCAAAAAACCCAAATTTGGGGTTTTTTACCCCAAAATCCCCAATCCTAAATCCCAAAATTTGGCGAAAAAAGTCCCAAAACTCTTCCAAAAAACTCCCCAAAATCATCAAATTTTGTCATAAAATCGCCAAATTTTGTCGTAAAACCATCAAATTTTCACCTAAAAACCCCAAATTTTTTTTGCCAAAAAACCCAAATTTGGGGTTTTTTCACCCCAAAATCTCCAATCCTAAATCCCATATTTTGGGGAAAAAACTCCCAAAATTCCACTAAGAAACAGCCAAAAATCGTCGTAAAATTGTCAAATTTCGTCGTAAAACCGCCAAATTTTGACCTAAAATCCTCAAATTTTCACCTAAAAACACCAAATTTTTTTTGCCAAAAACCCCAAATTTGGGTTTTTTCACCCCAAAATCCCCAATCCTAAATCCCAACATTTAGGGAAAAAAGTCCCAAAACTCTTCCAATAAACGCCCAAAAATCGTCGTAAAAACGCCAAATTTCGTCGTAAAACCGCCAAATTTTGACCTAAAATCCTCAAATTTTCACCTAAAAACATCAAATTTTTTTTTGCCAAAAACCCCAAATTTGGGTTTTTTCACCCCAAAATCTCCAATCCTAAATCCCGTATTTTTAGAAAAAAAGTCCCAAAACTCTGCTTAGAAACGGCCAAAAATCGTCGTAAAAATGCCAAATTTCGTCGTAAAACCGCCAAATTTTGACCTAAAATCATCAAATTTTCACCTAAAAACACCAAATTTTTTTTTGCCAAAAACCCCAAATTTGGGGTTTTTCACCCCAAAACCCCCAATCCTAAATCCCAAAATTTAGGGAAAAAAGTCCCAAAACTCTTCCAAAAAACTCCCAAAAATCATCAAATTTTGTCGTAAAACCGCCAAATTTTGTCGTAAAATCATCAAATTTTCACCTAAAAACCCCAAATTTTTTTTGCCAAAAACCCCAAATTTGGGGTTTTTCACCCCAAAATCCCAAATCCTAAATCCCAAAATTTGGGGAAAAAAGTCCCAAAACTCTTCCAAAAAACTCCCCAAAATCATCAAATTTTGTCGTAAAATCGCCAAATTTTCACCTAAAATCGTCAAATTTTCACCTAAAAACACCAAATTTTTTTTGCCAAAAACCCCAAATTTGGGTTTTTTCACCCCAAAATCCCCAATCCTAAATCCCAAAATTTGGGGAAAAAAGTCCCAAAACCCTTCCAAAAAACGCCCAAAAATCGTCGTAAAAACGCCAAATTTCGTCGTAAAACTGCCAAATTTTGACCTAAAATCGTCAAATTTTCACCTAAAAACACCAAATTTTTTTTGCCAAAAACCCCAAATTTGGGGTTTTTTACCCCAAAATCTCCAATCCTAAATCCCAAAATTTGGGGAAAAAACTCCCAAAACTCTTCCAATAAACGCCCAAAAATCGTCGTAAAACCGTCAAATTTCGTCGTAAAAGCGTCAAATTTCGTCGTAAAATCGTCAAATTTTCGCCTAAAAACACCAAATTTTTTTTTGCCAAAAAACCCAAATTTGGGTTTTTTCACCCCAAAATCTCCAATCCTAAATCCCATAGTTTTAGAAAAAAAGTCCCAAAACTCTGCTTAGAAACGCCCAAAAATAGTCGTAAAATCGTCAAATTTCGTCGTAAAACCACCAAATTTTCACCTAAAACCATCAAATTTTCACCTAAAAACCCCAAATTTTTTTTGGCAAAAACCCCAAATTTGGGTTTTTTCACCCCAAAATCCCCAATCCTAAATCCCAAAATTTGTGGAAAAAACTCCCAAAACTCTTCCAATAAACGCCCAAAAATCGACGTAAAACCGCCAAATTTCGTCATAAAACCGCGAAATTTTGACCTAAAACCGTCAAATTTTCACCAAAAAACCCCAAATTTTTTTTGCCAAAAACCCCAAATTTGGGTTTTTTCACCCCAAAATCTCCAATCCTAAATCCCAAATTTTGGGGAAAAAAGTCCCAAAATTCCACTAAGAAACGGCCAAAAATCGTCGTAAAACCGTCAAATTTTCGCCTAAAATCCTCAAATTTTCACCAAAAAACACCAAATTTTTTTTGCCAAAAACCCCAAATTCGCCGTTTTTCACCCCAAAATCCCCAATCCTAAATCCCAAATTTTGGGGAAATAAGTCCCAAAATTCCACTAAGAAACGGCCAAAAATCGTCGTAAAAACGCCAAATTTTGATGTAAAAACGCCAAATTTTGTCGTAAAATTGTCAAATTTTCACCAAAATATCCCAAATTTTTTGGGGAAAAAGACCCAAAATTTGGCATTTTCACCCCAAAACCCTAAGTCCTAAATCCCAAATTTTGGGGGAAAAAGTCCCAAAATTCTGCTAAGAAACAGCCAAAAAACGCCCAAAAATTGTCAAATTTTGTCGTAAAATCGTCAAATTTTCACCTAAAAACCCCAAATTTTTTTTTGCCAAAAACCCCAAAATTGGGTTTTTTCACCCCAAAATCTCCAATCCTAAATCCCATATTTTGGGGAAAAAACTCCCAAAATTCCACTAAGAAACGCCCAAAAATCGTCGTAAAACCGTCAAATTTCGTCGTAAAATCGCCAAATTTTGACCTAAAATCATCAAATTTTCACCAAAAAACCCCAAATTTTTTTTGCCAAAAACCCCAAATTTGGGTTTTTTCACCCCAAAACGCTGACCATGAGGCGGTTGGCCAAGAGGCCGGCGCCGTAGCCGGCGGCGTGGGGCTCGCCGGCGCCCACGGCGTGGTTGCGCAGGACGTGGATGGCGTCGTCCAAGCGCTCCAGGCGATCCTCGATGCGGCTCTGAGGAAAAAAAAAACCAAAATTTTGGGGTAAATTTGGGGGTTTTTGGGTTTTTTGGGGTTTTTGGGTAATTTTGCGATTTTTTTGGAGTTTTTTGGTGGATTTTTTGGGGTTTTCTGGGGGTTTTTTGGTGGATTTTTTGGGGTTTTTTTTTCCCCCAGGCGATCCTCGATGCGGCTCTGAGGGGAAAAAAAACCAAATTTTGGGGTAAATTTGGGGGTTTTTGGGTTTTTTGGGTTTTTTGTGATTTTTGGGGATTTTTTGGGGGTAATATTGGGATTTTTGGGGATTTTTTGGGGTTTTTTGGGGGTTTTTTGGTGGATTTTTTGGGGTTTTTTTTTCCCCCAGGCGATCCTCGATGCGGCTCTGAGGGGAAAAAAAACCAAATTTTGGGGTAAATTTGGGGGTTTTTGGGTTTTTTGGGGTTTTTGGGGTTTTTTTAGGGGATTTTTGGGGGTTTTTTGGGGGTAATATTGGAATTTTGGGGATTTTTTGGGGTTTTTTGGGGTTTTTTTGAGGATTTTTTTGGGGGTTTTTTGGGTCATCTTTGGGTCAATTTTGGGAAATTTTTTTGGGTCAATTTTTGGAATTTTTTGGGTCTTTTTTGGGTCAATTTTTGGGATTTTTTTTGGTCATGTTTGTGTTTTTTTGGTGAATTTTTGGGTCAATTTTTGGAATTTTTTGGGTCGTTTTTGTGGTTTTTTGGTTAATTTTTGGGTCAATTTTTGGGATTTTTGTGGGGTTTTTTTCGAGATTTTTTAGATTTTTTTTTGGGTTATTTTTGGGACAATTTTGGGATTTTTTTGGGTCATTTTTGGGTCAATTTTTGGAATTTTTTTGGGTAATTTTTGGGTTAATTTTTGGGGATTTTTGGGGGTTTTTTGAGGTAATTTTGGGGTTTTTTTGGGTCATTTTTGGGTCAATTTTTGGAATTTTTTGGGTCGTTTTTGGGTTTTTTTGGGTCATTTTTGGGTCAATTTTTGGAATTTTTTGGGGTAATTTTTGGGTTAATTTTTGGGGATTTTTGGGGGTTTTTTAGGGATTTTTTGGGGTTTTAGGGTGAATTATTTGGGATTTTTGGGGGTTTTTTTTTTGAAGATTTTTGGGATTATTTTGGGGATTTTTGGGATTTTTTTTGGGTTTTTTTTGAGGATTTTTTTTCATTTTTTGGGGTTTTTTGTAGGATTTTTGGGGTCAATTTTTGGTATTTTTGGGTCATTTTTTGGGGTCAATTTTGGAGATTTTTGGGTCAATTTTTGGGTCATTTTTGGGATTTTTTTTGGGTCATTTTTGGGTCAATTTTTGGTATTTTTGGGTCAATTTTTGGTATTTTTGGGTCAATTTTTGGGGTTCATTTGAAGCTTTTGGGCTTCAGTACCAGCCGAGGACGAACTCATGAATATTAATGAGATGCAAATTAATTAATTAATCTTAATTAAGACTCACCAAGGAGTGCAAGGGCCCCTCGTAATTGGGCGACGAAGACGCTTGCCCGCCATTCCTGGCCCAAGCTGCCGTCCCTGCTAATTAATTCAGAGCAAATTAATTAATTAATTGGTTGGGTTGGTCAATTAAAAATTCAGGGTTAATTAGGGAAAAAATTCGGGGTTAATGACGCAAAAAACCGGGTGAAAAAAGACGAAAAAATGAGGGAAAAATGGGATTTTTTGGGGAAATAAATTGAATTTTTTTGGGGGAAAAAATGGGGATTAATTAATTAAAAATTTGGGGTTAATTAAGGGAAAAATTGGGGTTAATTAAGGGAAAAAATTGGGGTTAATTAAGGGAAAAAATCGGGGAAAGAATCCTAAAAAATTTAAGGAAAAATGACCAAAAATTGGGGAAAAAAATAGAATTTTTTTGGGTAAAAAATTGAATTTTTTGGGGAAAAATGTTGGATTTTTT